CAATCGCCTAAAGTTTCGATACCAGTTCACGGAACTTGGACGGGGCTAAAACTGGATGAGATAGCTTTTTGAGAGGCAAGGCTAAATAAAATTCAGTGGCATCTTGAGGCCGTTGTCTCATCGTGGAGTAACTTAAATGAAGTCTTAAAATCCCTTTAAGCAACCTAGAATTACTCAAATTTTATTTACAAATTACTTTATCTCAAAACCTCCTTATATTGAGACTAAGTAACTCCTTTTATTACAATGGCAAATACATGTTTGCTTAATCAGCAATACTATTACAAATTTGATTTGGGAGAGGCTTGGCTTGCCTTGAATGTCTCATTTTCAAATGTGACGTAGTAACGTTGCCACGATACTCACGACCCTGTTTTGAATCCCGTTTGGGGTGCTGATGAGGGAAATCTTAACTAGTAGTCCCTAAATCACATAGATTGACTAAGTCCTTATTCAATAATTTCTGATAGCTTCGAAAGCTAGTTATAATGAAAATTCCAGCCACACAAGGGCTGAGTAAGCTTAATGGTTAAATGCAGGAGTCTGGGGTACTCAGCTCTCAATTTTGCGCCAATCTGCAGCTTGGTGATTTGACATACAGCGATTCCCACGTTTTCTTGCAACATAAATAGGGTCGGGATATGGACTTCAGCTAACCTCTTTTTATATAAAAATATGAATTTTAATTCAGATTGATGTAGTGTGTGCGGTTATAGTAGTTGGAGGTATTAGTGGATGAGTAAGGCGGTTACCTGCAAACTGAAGCCAATTTGGTCGTCCTTTGTTCCAGTCGCTGGGCCTGGCTCAAGTACTTCTCCTGACCTAAGCAGGCCCGGTTCGTTCCCTAGGCCATCCTGATCAATAGCCATCACCTGAACTAGCTGACCCATGGCTCGACCCACTTGACCAGCCATCTGGAAGAGGGAACCAAGGCCCCCGTTGTCACCCTTAGTTTCAACGGCGGAAACGTTCTCGTCGGGATTTGTGCTCGTGAAGTTCATTTCATCTGTAGTAAGAATTAAGTGGAGGCACATTATGTATAAAGGAGTGGTGGTCAAGGGTCCCAGGCGAATGTTGGGAAGATGCCAGAACAGCATAATAGTTTTGGTACAAAAGTGTTTCTGAATAGTGGCTTCATACTTTGGATGGCTATAAAATAGAGTTAGAGGCAATGAAGTTTGAATC